CCTAAGTAATTATGCCTTGTTTAGAGATTTCTAGACAAATGAGGTAGTTGTTGAATATAACTCATTAAACATGATTTTCAAGTCAATCTAGGACCTGGTTGGTTAAAAACAGCCTGAGGTTTGGCTACAGATTGATCAAAGTTTTCTGGAAAATTCCTTTTCTAGAAAGAAATCAAATCAAATCAAATAGTATCCATGGTGTGCACATCTGTAATTCCAGCAATTTGGGAGGTCTCAAGTTCAAGGCCAGCCTGGATAATTTAGCAAGACACTATCTTAAAATACAAAATAAAAAGGGAYAGGGATACAGCTCAGTTGTAGAATGCCCCTTTGTTCAATCCAGTATGGTTTGGGGTCAGGAGAGGAGTGTGTAAATAGCATAGAGGAACTCTCAGTAGTTGGTGTCTTCTTCATTCAACAAGGGCCAGGGTTGTACTTTCCATGTTGCACCCCTGGAGAGTGAAGCATGATAAGTAACTTCTTGCCACTTCACTTTCCTTCAGTACAGACTGAGCAGGGAGAATGGGAAGTGCTTTATCTTCCCCACAGTTGCTCAGAACAAGTAGTTGTGACCTGAAGAACTCTCACAGGGCTGAATTCTTATCCATGTTTTGAATACAGTTTGGATTTTTTAAAGAGATAATCTAACAAATATCTTTATTACATTAAAAATTCTGCATACTAAAAGCCAAATGTGGGCTGCAGTTGTAGCTCAGTGGCAGAGCGCTTGCCAAGCATGTATGAGGCCCTGGGTTCAATCCTCAGCACCACATAAAAATAAATAAAAATAAAGGAATTGTGACCATCTACAAAAAATAAAAAAAGCCAAATTTGTTTCCTTTCAAATATTTTGATTCACTTTCCTGTAACCTAGTTTGTATTCTGTGTTTTATTTCAGTATAGGAATTAAACCTAGGGGTGCTTTACCACTGAGCTACACCCCCAGCCCTTTTTATTTTTTATTTTGAGACAGGGTCTCACTAAATTGCTGAAGCTAGCCTTGAACTTTTGATCCTTCTGTCTCAGCCTCTCGAGTAGATAGGATTAGAAGTATGCTCCACCACACAAAATTGATTGTCTATAATCTTACATAAAAATCTATTTAAGGCTGGGGATATAGCTCAGTTGGTAGAGTGCTTGGCTTGCATGCACAAGGCTGTGGATTCAATCCACAGTACCCCTCCCCCCCMAAAAAAAATCTCTAGTCGTTCTTTTGCCATATTTTGAGACAAGGGCAGAATAGGGATGGTGCAGGTAGAAGGTTCTGGTCCCATTTTAGTGCATATATATGAAGGGAAAAACTTAACAATACTCATCCAGTAAGATGAACACTAGTTTTTCAATGATTGATTAAACAAATACACACTGAGTACATATTATGCATCAGGCACTAGGCAAGTTGGTAATATTCTGTATAAAGACAGGGCTAGAGACATTATTCTATTCCTAGTAGCTCTATCCTTGAAAATTTAAAAACATGTTATTTAATGTAAGGTTTCTTAACTTTGGTATTGCTGACATTTTGGATAATTCTTCGTTGTGGGTGTACTATGCATTGTAAGGACATTTGTTCGTTTGGAGGACTGGGGTTGGAACCCAGGGCTTATGTGCTAGTGAAATGCTCTACCACTAAGTTACATTCCCAGTCCCACCATGGCATATTTARCAGCATTCTTGGTTTCTACCGATGCCAATGACACCTCCCTCCTCAGTTGTGACAATGTCTTCAGATATTGTGAAATGTCCCCTGGGGGGAAAATTGTCCCTTGCTGAGAATCACTGAGTGTGATCATATTTTTTTTTTTWAAAGAGAGAGTGGGAGAGAGAGAGAGAGAATTTTTTTAATATTTATTTATTTTTTTAGTTCTCAGCGGACACAACATCTTTGTTTGTATGTGGTGCTGAGGATCGAACTCGGGCTGTACGCATGCCAGGCGAGTGCGCCACCGCTTGAGCCACATCCCCAGCCCATATGATCATATTTTTTAAAKATCTAAAGTTTATTCAGTTTTTGAGATACTACTACTGTGCCAACCTTGCCCATTTCTTACATGATTACTTGTCCTACATGTCATTGAACATTTGAACTTGGGAGATATAAACCACAATGTATTCTGATTCTCAGATAAGATAAATGGGTATTGCAGTTGAGTGACATTTTCAACTAATTTATGAATAGCAGAACAAATACTGTTCTATATTTTTAGCTTAGGGAGGTTTATCTTAGACCATGCATGGCTGATAAAAATGTGAAATCTGAGCTCTGAGGATTTCTCTTGAGCTAACCAGATGGTGTGCTTATGATCTGCCTACAACATCTTCCCATTCTTTTTAAATAAAAAGCTATTTTTTACCTTCCACTTTTAAGATCACATGCTTTTATATTTTTTGAAGTAAAAAAAAACATATATCCAGGTTATGTTAGACACTTAACTATCACAAGGACTTATGAAAATCTAAGGAAAATGTCACCTACCTTTATGTTCTTTACATTCATCTTCTAATATCCACACCAAACATAGTCTTCYACTCTATCTTAATAACAACATCACACACACACTTATGTGCCAGGCAGCATTCTAAGTTATTTTACATATATTTTAAAAATTTACATGTTTTTCTTTGGTTTAATTTCAGACAGAAAATTTGCAAAAATAGTACTAAGAGTTATTGTGGATATCTTTCACCCAGATTCACCAATTGTTATTTTACTATATTTGCAGTCCCTGCTCACTCACTCCCTTGTGCTCACTCTATCTCAACACAGTCTTATTCTTTACTCAATAGCACATATTCCTTTGATTTTTATTAATTTTGTTGCTCAAATCATTCAGATTTAGTCAGCGAGAGTCCCTTCAAACAGGTTCCTGTCGATTTTATGTATATATAAAATATATGCTTAGCGCCTCACTTTTGCTAAGGCTGGCTTTGAATTTCCGATCCTCCTTCCTCAGCCTCCCCAGCCTCTGGGAGTATAGGCGTGTGCCGTCCTCAGCAATTTAGTGAGGCATTAAGCAACTCAGTGAGATCCTGTCTCTAATAAAATACAAAATAGGGCTGGAGATGTGGCTCAGTGGTTGAGTGCCCTGAGTTAAAAAAAAAATATATATATATATATATTGAACCTAGGGGCAATCTACCACTGAGCTACATCCCTAGCCCTTTTTATTTTGAGGCAGGGTCTCGCTAATTTGCCCACGCTGGCCTTGAACTGCAGTCCTGCCTCAGTCTCCCAGGTAGCTGGGATTACAGGTGTGCAACTACTGTACCAGTCTCCCTGTGGCCTTTAACATGGCACAAAACAGTAATGTTGGGCTCATCTTTATTTATTTATTTTTTGGGGGGAATGGGGATTGAATTTAGGAGCACTAGACTACTGAGTCATATTCCCAGCCCTATTCTGTATTTTATTTAGAGACAGGGTCTGAGTTGCTTAGCGCCTCACTTTTGCTAAGGCTGGCTTTGAATTTGCAATCCTCCTTCCTCAGCCTCCCCAGCCTCTGGGAGTATAGGCGTGTGCCACCCTCAGCAATTTAGTGCGGCGTTAAGCAACTCAGTGAGACCCTGTCTCTAATAAAATACAAAATAGGGCTGGGGATGTGGCTCARWGGTTGAGTGTCCTGAGTTCAAACCCTGGTATTCCCTYGCCCCCACCCCCCMAAAAAAAGCAAAAATAGAATTATCCAATGGGTAGACAGAACTTGAAAATAGATTTATAACTACATATGTGTGCATACCCACATGCATTCATATACATTTTAACATTAAATTTTCATTACACCTCTTATGAAATAGCAAATTTTATTATTCTCATATACTGTTTTGAGGCTCAGAAGAAGTTAAATAACTTGCCAGAGATCTACTAGTTAACTGGTGAGGCTAAGATTGGAAGCTGGACAGTCTGGCTCCAGGCCTATCCTTTTAGCATAAATATTTAAAGATAAAAGGGTTGACAAGGAAGCCTACTCTATATGATCTAAAATCCCTATTGAGGTCTTTGGCTTTAGTGTCATATCCTGTTTTCTATCTGGGAAGGAGGGCAGCAGGGTGTGTACTGTTGGCCTGGGAATGAATCCAAATAATAGAGAATTGTTTTTCTCCTGGAAGACAAATGGTTTGCAACTGCACCAAAGTTGCTATACCTGGCTCCTACTAGGATGAGTTTAGCACTAAAAGGATTTTCAGGTTTCAGGCCTTCATGGAAATAGATTTCTGGTAAGCCTGCCTAACAATCCAGTTAATATGATCAGTGTTTATCCAGTTAAGAATTCTGATTGCCACACATTGGTTTTAGATTGGTGAAGCAAAATAAACTTTTTGGTAAGAACTTCTTTTGGAAAGCAATTTTGCCACTTATATTGAAGTAGATAATGTGATGTGCACTCCCTAGAACCCACTGATTTTATTTCTAGATTAATTTCCCATTAAAATAAATGTTACTTGTGTGCACAAAGTGGTATGCAAAAGAATAGTTCGGGCTGGGGTTGTGGCTCAGTGGTAGAGCACTTGCCTAGCACATGCTAGGCCCTGGGTTCAATCCTCAGTCCCTCATAAAAATAAATAAATAAAATTAAGGTATTGTGTCCAAGTACAACTAAAAAATAAATATTAAAAAAGAATGTTCATAGCTACACTGTATATAAGAGCAGATATCTGGCAACAACCTTAATGTTTCATCCACTACAGAATAAATAAATAACAAAAAATGATATTTATGACAGCAGTAGAAATGAATAATTTATAAATTTATAGCTATTTTTATCTCCACAGACGAAAGATGCAGAATCCATAGATACCTTTGACATAAAATTTTAAAACATGCAAAACAATTCTACATACATTACTTAAAAATATGTGCACATGTAGTAAAATTCTATCAAAATGCATGGAAATGAAAAACACCAGATCTAAAAGAGTCATCAGCACCTGTGTTGACTAAGACTACATTGACACTTACAGGACCAATTCACCAGAATGTGTGAAATCCTACTGGGTGTTGGTCAATCCACATCCAGGTCTGAAGAATAGTAACTGGCCAAAAAGTGCWCATAGGTGAGTTAAACTAAGCTTTTAGGCAACCATATTCTGTGACAAATTATTTATAATATGCTAACCTGTTACAGAAAGCCTTGTATTCCCTATGCTTTACACATAATTACTATATACGAAAACTTAGTTGTTTTTTTTTGTACCAGGGACTGACCTCAGGGGCACTCTACCACTGAGCCACATCCTCAGCCCTATTTTGTATTTTATTTAGAGACAGAGTTTCATTGAGTTGCTCAGCACCTTGCTTTTGCTGAGGCTAGCTTCGAACTCATGATCCTCCTGCCTCAGCCTCCCAAGCTGCTGGGATTTACAGGTGTGTGCCACTGTGCCCAGCAACTTAATTTTATTTATATATCATTTTTATTTGAAGATGGACGCAATACCTTTATTTTATTTATTTTATGTGGTGCTGAGGATTGAACCCACTGCCTTACATGTGCAAGCCAAGCACTCCATCACTGAGCCATAACTTCAGCCCAATTTTATTTATTTTTGTAATATCTTAAAAGGTTGAGGGGAATGTAATTTTATATCCATGTTACCTCATTTTTAAGTGAGTTCTATTTTCTCTCATATAGTTTTCTGAAAGTCAACAAACACTAAAGGATACTTTTTATCTTTATATAAAATGCACTAAAGAATACTTATAAAATGTCCATGTTTTAAGACTATATATAGGAAAAAAGAATATTAGTGACTCCAAAGAAACAGAATCCACAGGATTTATATTATACATTAAAAAAAGATTTATTATAGAGTGATTATAGAGGCTGACAGATCTCTTGGTTTTCAGGTAAACTGGCAAGTGATGACCAAGGAGAAGTGATGGTGGAGTTCCAGTCTCAAGATTGACAGGCTAGAGATCCGGGAAGAATTGATGTTTTAGTTTGAGTTCAAAACAGAAAAAAATAAATGTCCCAGTTTGTAGGCAGTCGTCAGGCAGGAGGAATTCTCTCTGGTGGAGGAAACTCAGCCTGTTTTGGTCTATTCAAGTCTTCAACTGATTCAATGAGGGCTACCCACATTGGAGAGGGCAATCTACTTTTCTCAGTCTATATCAATTTAAATGCTAATTTCATCCAAAATCACCTTCACAGAAACAACTAATACCCAATGTTAGACCAAATATCTGGGCAACTTATGGCCCAATCAAGTTTATAAATGAAATTACTCATCACAGAAAGGAAATATATCAAAATGATATAATACAATTACTAAATAAGTTTCCCTCGGATTTAGCTCTATATTTTACTTCAAATGGCTTACTCTATTTCCTCAGTTTAAATTGTTTTTTAATGCTTTTAGTTTTATAGGTTCAATCACTTTAGTTTTTATAAATTTATAAGACTTAAAAATACTSTTTTTGTTAACACCAAAAAAACTTGTGTTTTTGTTTGTTTGCAGGGGATTGCTTGCTGGGGATTGAATCCAGGGCCTTGTACTTCCTAGGAAGGTACTCTTCAACTGGACTATATCCTATTCCCTGAAATATTTTTCATAATTGATTTTTCATTAAAAATTTTCTTTCTCTCCCCCAAAATACTGGGGATTGAATTCAGGAGCATGCTATCACTGAGCTATATCTCCAGTCCCTTTTATTTTTTGMGATGTGGTCTTGCTAAATTGTCCAGTCTGGACTAGAAATTTGCCATACTCCTGCCTTGGATTCCTGAGTAGATGGGATTACAGATTGTGCCACGACACCCAGTACCCTAAAATATTTCTAACAATATTTTCATATTCTAAATGTTTGCTTTAACTTCAAATTTTCTAATGAAGAAAATATACAAAGCTTGATATGTTTCTAAGTTGCTTTACCACTACAGGCTGCACAAAAGTTCTAATTATTATCACAATTTTGAGCTCTTCAGATATATGACTTCCTCAGAGAATTTTTTTTTTTTTTTTTTTTTTTGTGGTGCTGGGTACTGAACCCAGGGCTTTGAGCATGTGAGGCAAACACTTTGCCAACTGAGCTGTATTCCCAGCCCCTCAGAGAAAATTTTAAATTGTTATCATCAATTTATGATAGTAAATAGTTTACTGGGAAAACACTGAAGATAATTCACTCATATTTTATTGTTATTATTTAGAGATAGTCAAATTTTGTGGTTTTGGGCAAAATTAAAACATTTAGAAATCTTTCTAAAACSTTAGTTGAAATTCCAGATTTCCTCCCCAGAACCATCCGTTAAAAATCCAAAAAATATATATATTTTTCCCACAATACTGAGGATTGAACCCAGTGCACTCAACTATTAAGCTATATCCCCAGGCCTATTTTTTGAAATAGGATCTCGCTAGGTTGCTGAGGCTTGCCTCAAATTTGTGATCCTCCTGCCTTACTCTTCTGAGTTGCTGGAATTATATAGGTCTGCAATACCATGCCAGCCCAACAAAGATAGTATATATTTCTTAGTGGAATTATTTTTTGTAGATACCTATAAAAAAGGCTGATATTTTTATTCCCAGATTGTTACCTTCTCAGCATCAATGAAAGTCATTAATCKATTGTAAATCATAATATTTTGCCTTTTAACTAATTATTAAGATACTTTTATGTGTTAATAATTGTAACTTTGCTATAAATGATCTGAAACATTTTGTCAAATAGATGTCTTGTAAATAAGACTAAATTTAATTTGCATTTAGTCTGTATTAACAAATATTCAATGCCTGAAAAACCTTGATTGTATTTAATATTAACAATAAGGTAGGTGGTATTAACTATTTAAATGAACCTTTAAAAGTATTGTTTGCTTGCCAGGCACGGTGGCACATGCCTGTAATCTCGGCAATTCAGGATGCAGAAGCAGGAAGACCTCTAGTTTAAAGCCAGCCTCAGCAAAAGCAAGGCACTAAGCAACTCAGTGAGACCCTGTCTTTAAATAAAATACAAAAAAGGGTTGGGGATGAGACTCAGTGGTTGAGTGCCCTTGAGTTCAATCACAAGTGTACTCCTCACCCCCCAAAAAGTTGTTTGCTCAACTGAAACACAGTTTCAATGTGGTGGCATATGCTTTTTTAAAAAAAATATTTATTTTTTAGGTGTAGATATACACAACACAATGCCTTTATTTTTATGTGGTGCTGAGGATAGAACCTGGGTCCCGCCCATGCTAGGTGAGAGCTCCACCGCTGAGCCACAATCCCAGCCCTGGCATATGCTTTTAATCCCAGGGACTTGGAATGTTAACAATTTTGAGGTCAGCCTTGACAATTCAGCAAGACCCCGTTTTTTAAGAAAAAAAAAAAAAATTAGGACTGGGAGTGCGGTTCAGTAGTAGAGGGCCTCTGGATTCAATACCAGTAGAAACAAAACTCTTGGGTAAAATATTATAAATCTTCATTTCAAATTCTTTTTTTAAAATTTTTTAATATTTATTTTTTAGTTTTTGGCATACACAACATCTTTGTTTGTATGTGGTGCTGAGGATCGAACCCGGGCCTCAAGCATGCCAGGCGAGCGCGCTACCGCTTGAGCCACATCCCCAGCCCCATTTCAAATTCTTTATTGTTGAAGCTGATACATATTTCCTCCTAAATTTTTCATTGATGATTACAAATCTTTGTTTCAGCTTTGAGTTTTAAGTGAACATGTGTGTGAAATGTGCATTTTGCACTTTAAACACTAAGTTTTTGATAACTGTTAGCACTCAATATTCACATTACTTGGAATAAGTCATTTTTCATTCTAGAAAAATTTGTTTTAATTCTTTCACACCATCAAGACATTTCAGGGGGCTGGGGTTATGGCTCAGTGGTAGCGTGCTTGCCTAGCACGTGTGAGGCCCTGGGTTCGATCCTCAGCACCACATAAAAGTAAGTAAACAAAATAAAAGCCATGGACCCTTTAAAAAAAAAAAAGACATTTCAGGATGGTTTAAATCATGGTCTAGACTATAACTCATTGATATATTCTTTCAGTTTTAGAATATGAACATTTAGAACATTTAAATGGATGTTAAGAAGTTTATCAATACTTTGTTGACATCTCAGTCTGAATTTTCCAACTTACAACTTTTACTTGAAACATCTATTTAGAAAGGTGTACATGTCGGGGGTAGCTGGGATTGTGGCTCAGCCGCAGAGCACTTGCCTAGCACGTGTGAGGCCCTGGGTTCAATTCTCAGCACCATATAAAAATAAAGGTGTTGTGTCCAACTACAATTGAAAAATATATATTTATATTTTAAAAGCGTACATATCGTAAGGGTTCACTTTAATACATTTTTGCAAAACTAAATGTACCAATTAATTAGCATCCAGATTAAGAAACAGAACACACTAACATCCTAGAAGCCCAAATCCTTTTACCATCTGTCAGTTACTTCCTTCTCACTCAAGGGTAACTAACATCTTGTTTTGGACTTCACATAAATAGAAAAATTATATATTCTTTTTGTCTGGCTACTTTTGCTATATCTCACATTTCTGAGGTAACTGTAGCAAATTATTATTATGTGTAGTTATAGTAATTATTATTATGTGTAGTTATATAATATATTATGTAAATATACAACAATTTTTCTTATTTTTGTACCAGGGATTGAACTCAGGGGCACTTGGCCACTGAGCCACATTTCCAGCCCTCCTGTGTAAACACAAAAAACAGGGTCTCACTGAGTTTCTTAGYACCTTGCTTTTGCTAAGGCTGGCTTTGAACTTGAGGTCCTCCTGACTCAGCTTCTTGAGCTGCTGGGATTACAGGTRTGTGCCACTATGCCCAGGAAATATGACAATTTTTCAATTTGGGTTTCTAATTTTGGTTATGAATGGTAGTGAATGGTTAACAATTATGAATCATCTCAATATGAACACTTACTGACCTAATATGGTAGCAAGTAGCCATATATAGTCCTTCAAACTTAAAATTGGAAATTAGTTCCTCATTTGCACTACCCTTACTTCAAGTGCTCAACAAATATCTATATATGACTAGCAATTACTATATGAATCCATTCTTTCTTACCAACAGAACTTTGACTCTGTTCAGGGCAGAAATGCACACTGCTTAAAATATCTCCCCATACTCTTGTAGCAAGAGGTGGTCAGGTGATTCAGTTTTGTCCAAAAAGACAGAGGTGGAAGCCACTGAGTGGGGCTTCTAGTGAAWTTTTTTTTTTTTTTTTTTTTTTGGTTCTGTGAATTGAACCTAGTGGCACTTAACCACTGAGCCACATCCCAAGCCCTTATTAATATTTTATTTAGAGATAGGGTCTTACTAAATTGCTTAGGGCCTCCCTTGGTTGCTGAGGCTGGCTTTGAACTTGTGATCCTATTGCCCTGGCCTCCTGAGTCACTGGTATTATAGTCATGCACCACCGCGCATGGCTAGACAAATTWAAAAAAAAAAAACAAAAAACTTTTTTTAACCAGGAACACTCTACGACTTATATCCCCAGCCCTATTTGTTTTGAGATAGGATCTTACTAAGTTGCCCAGACTGGCATGGAACTTGCCAGTTCTTCTGCCTCRGCCTCCAAGACTCTAGGATTACAGGTATGTGCCACCACCCTGGTTTACTATGCACATTCTTGTTACATGTCTCTCAGGACATTTTGTTGGGTGTATATTAGAGTAGAACTGCATATTTTGGTGCTTAGTATTAAAAACACAGAGTTCTGGTTCTATATTTCTAATCAAAAGCTTTGACAAAGCAAGCATATACCTATAATGTCAGATGAAGCTGAAATATGTGTTCAATTTCATTAATTATGGAACTTTAGCCAAAGTGGCTTTCATTTTCTTCCATTCACTTGCTAATCCTTCTAAATGGAGTAGTCCTCCCTACCTTCCTTGTCCAGGTAACTTTTATTTATTCCCATGATTTCAGATTAAGCATCACTGTCTCGGAAAAGGAAGGTTTCTTTTTAATTCCTCCATTATATATTCTCTTACCACCACAAATCTTTTTTTATTTGTTGCAATTGTTTTACAATTTGTTTGTGATATAAATTGGTTGTCTTCCTCAGTAATATAAGCTGATTAAAGTGCTCTCTTCTTTTCGTGTTATTATACTCCTCACCTAGTTCACTACCTGGCACATGTAAGGAGTCAATAAATACTTGACTATATATTGTGCCTTCACTCAAGGTACCAACTGCAACATTTCATTCTTCAGGTCCTCATCGRTACATCCTTTGAAAATGAATTTGTATTAGGTTAAGATTTTGCTAAGTCCCATTTGGAAGATCAAATATGAGGGATTTACCACCTATGACCATCATCATAAACAAGAATACTTTTACTGGAGARACTAATTATCATGGCAGGTAACTGTGCATAGGATTATAAAATATATTGTTGTCTCATCAAATGATATTTATAATTTAAGATACTTTACCTGGAGAATTAATTACATAAAAGCTCTATTATACAACAGAACAAAATTCAACATGCTTTCATATAATAATCCTTATTATATGGAAAGCAGATATCATTTGTTTTATTTCTCCTTTATCATCAGATGACAAATTTCTCCCAATAACATCTCTTTGTATAATTTCACTTCATCCATGTAAATTCTTCACCAAGTTTTCTTYTTTCCTTGTTTTGTTTTTAATAAGAATTGCTCAATAACATCTATTATAGGAAAAAGTTTTAATATTTTTTAATATTTATTTTTTAGCTGTAGTTGGATACAATAGCTTTATTTCACTTATTTATTTTTATGTGGTGCTGAGGCTCGAACCCAGGGTCTCCCACATGTGAGGCGAGCGCTCTACCGCTAAGCCACAACCCCAGCCCCAAATATTTTTTTTAATAGTACTGAGGATTGAACCCAGTGACAGTGTACCCTACGCTATATCACTAGCCCTCTTAAAATTTTTAGACAGTCTCAYTAAGTTGCCCAGGCWGGCCTTGAACTTGTGATCCTCCTGCCTCAGGCTCCTGAATAGCTTGGATTACAGGCATGCACCACTGTATGCAGCTTGGAGTAAGGTTTTATTTTAAAAACAAAAGTGTCACAAGTTCCTGAAGACATAGAATAGCTAAAAWGTGCACTAATAATAATGTAAAAACCAAATAACTATCATTTAAAAATACTCAACTAGTTTTGTGGAATACGAAAAATACTGTTTTTATTTTATTCAAAATTTTCCCCCAGTGCTAGGGATTGAACCCAGGACCTCGGGCATTCTAGGTAAGGACTCTATCACTGAGGTATACCCCAGCCCTTTTTACTTTTTATTTTGAGAGAGGGTCCCACTAAGTTGTTTAGGGTCTTGCTAAATTGCTGAGGCTAGCTTTGGACTTGTGATCCTCCTGCCTCGCACCACCATGCMGGGCTCAATGTTTTATTACATCAAAAATTTTAAGCCAAGTACAGGGGTGCATTGCCTGTCATCCCAGAAACTAGAAGGGCTAAGATAGAAGAATAGCAAATTCAAGGCCAGTTTGGGCAAATTTGAGAGACTCTTGTCTCAAAATAAGACAAGAAAAAGGGTGAGAGGTGGCTGGGGATATAACCCAATGGTAGAGTGTCCCTGGGTTCGATCCCCAGAACTGTCAAAAAAAGTAAGAAGTAAAAAATGACTACATTTTTTTTTTTGAGAGAGAATTTTTAATATTTATTTTTTAGTTCTTGGCGGACACAACATCTTTTGTTGGTATGTGGTGCTGAGGATCGAACCCGGGCTGCACGCATGCCAGGCGAGCGCGCTACCGCTGAGCCACATCTCCAGCCCCATACATTTTCAACAATACTTAAATAAAAATCTACTTTGTATTTTATGTTAATACAAATTTTTACTAATTTAGAACTACATATTATGATATTAATTTGGGGGAATTTTTTTTTTAGAAATGGACATACTATTATATATAAAACAGTCTGTAGGCCTTTAGATATAACGGATTTATAATGGCACATAAAATTTTAGAGATCTTAGTAAACTACTTTTTTTTTTTTTGGTAGTGCTGGGAATTGAACCCAGGGCCTCATGCATGTGGGGTAGGAACTCTACCAACTGAATTATATCCCCAGCCCTAAAGTACTGTTTGTAGAACATGACTACTTAATTTTATACTGTATCTTTAGGTATAAACATGATCCATAAGTGAATTTTTTTTTTGGGGGGGGTACTGGGTATTGAACTCAGGGGCATTCAATCACTGAGGCACATCCCCAGCCGTATTTTGTATTTTATTTAGAGACAGGGTCTCACTGAGTTCCTTAGTACCTCACTTTTGCTGAGGCTGGCTTTGAACTCTCCTGCCTCAGCCTCCCAAGCCACTGGGAATACAGGCGTGTACCACTGCACAAGGTCATAAGTAAACTTTTTTTTTTAATATTCAATTTTTTAGTTGTAGTAGGACACAATACCTTTATTTTATTTATTTTTATGTGGTGCAGAGGACTGAACCCAGGGCTTCACACGTGCTAGGTGAGCATTTTATCATTGAGCCACAACCCCATCCCAAGTGAACTTTTTATGTAAATCTTTTTTTGGGTGGATTCGGGTGTCTGGGGATTGAACCCATGTGATGCAAGCATTTTACCACTGGGCTATACCCCCAATTCTATGCACATCTTAAAGCAATGATAATTTTAAAAAATTAAACTGTTTTTTGATAGAGGTAGTCTGAAATATCCCTGACCTGGTCCTGACCTCTAAGCTTTTGGGGGAAGATTCCAAGAGTCAACACTATGAACACCAAAAAACACACTGTAACAAAGGATTGACCTCACAAATTTCTAAGCATGACAAATGCTTATCTTACAATTGCTACTTCCATAGTCATACATCTTTCCTTACTATTTATTGTTTTAAATTCTAGAAGCTTTATGTTTCTGGTGTTTTTAGTCTGTTTTCCTAAACCCCCTTTTCTACATTTTTCCTAGTTTAAAATAAACTTTCTGGGGGCTGAAGGTATAGCTCAATGGTAGAGTGCTTGCCTAGCAAGTACAGGTCCTGTGTTCAATCCCCAGCACCCAAAAACTAAATAAATTAATTAAATAAACTTTTTTTTTTTTGGAGGGATTGGGGAAAGGGAGAAAGATGGGCTTGATACCTTGCTAATGTGCAGGCTTGATTTCAAAGTGCTGGATATTTCCTGATGAATAAGTTTGCTAAAGGAACACATACCAAGAGATAACCATGTTATCATTTTGAAGACAGCAGTTAACTCTTCCAGGTTAACTGCAGAAAGGAAAATACAATAATTTGCTGATAGTTAGTAGGCATTTGCTATTTTATGGACATAAATAAATTGTGTGTTTGTGTTTGTGTGTGTGTGTGTGTGTGTGTGGTGCTGGGGCTCAAACCCAAGGACTTGAATACATGCTAGACAAGTGCTCTAGTGAGCTACATTCCCAGCCCAAAATATTTTATCTGATTTACAACTATTAAAGATATATGTAAAATCTATGAATTATTTACAACAAAAATTTCACTAATAAAAATTTCTTAATATTTCCTTTAGAAAAAAATTGTACATTTGTTAGAGAGTGCCTGATACTTGTTAAAATATCAAGTAATACAGGACAAGGTGTTATAAAACAAAACACACAGCTGGGAAACATTTTATTTTTTTCTACTTCATATAACATTGCTCAGGACCACAAGATTTTATGTCTTTTTCCCATACTTCTCTGATTTAGGAGTATCACTTAAAAATATTTACTGATGCTATAAATATCATTGTTTTTCTATATATTAATAACTTTAATGAATGCCATATGCTCTTGTTCCTTTGGTCAGAAAGATAAACAGAAACTTTAAGTCAGTTGTTTAAGACATTCAAAATGGTTTTTAAAAGCATACTTTCACAAATCATGTCTACATCAGCAGCTATTATTTTAAAAATTACATACAATTTAAAAAACAAATTTTAAATTTTAAATAAAAAAGATTAATGGCCAATTGAAGAAAAGTTTAAGCATCATATTTTAATTTTTAGGCTATTAAGAAATATATTTTGTGAATAATAAGAATTATTTCATAAATATATATGTATAAATATAAATATATATCTACAGGATCTGTGATGCAGGAGAAAACTCGTTAAAAAAAAACATTGCACTTTTAGATTATCAGGATGCTGTCAAATTTATCCTTCAAGTGAAATACAATTACTGAGTCAGGTGCTTTTGGCACAAATTTTTAGGTGAATATTAACACAATATTAAAAACACAATGCTTTCATATTTTATTCACTGGAATATGAAGAATCAAACAGTTTAGAATTCTGACCAAAAAATCCCAGATAACTGTAACTGCTTAATTACATACAAAAAATAGTGTAAAAAGATCTTAAACCTTCCTTTTCATCTCAAACGTGAAAGTTTACCAGCAACGTTTTTTCCCAAGGGTCAGCAAGAATTCCCAGCCTACATACAAATGTAACATTGTCTTTTTCTACTCATGAATGAACTTGGATCACACCCCAGTATATAAAGACAAAAAATAAATGTATAATAAAAAGATTGGATAAATCAGGAGAGGCTTTTTGGTCTTGAATTCTTCACCCACTAACAATGAAGCAGCACTGTAGGCAGCCCAAAACACACCAAACAGCTTAAAAAA